AAATGAACGACCCTGTGGTTGACGAAAACCGTCAATCTATTTGTCAACACTAAATTCCTGTTTACACATGATTAGGAGATGCGTATATCGGTGTCCCCTGCATGTCAAATACGTCTTATTCTAAACAAATGTTGCTGACTGTTCTTGTTTTTTCCTGTTTGTTCATGTAAAAGATTTTTTGACGAGTCGTATATTTCATATGACATACAGAGGTGAGAAAATACAATATGAACAGGTCTTCAAGTAAAGAAATGTCAAGAACTGAAGTATTTTTGTTCTCATGTGCAAACAAATTGATCATTTAATAACAACTTCTTCTTTTCTAAACACACAGAATATTTACAGTGTTTATGTACATACAATCTTGACAACATCAATATGCTCACAGACCTTTTTAAAATAACAAATATCAAACACATCATAAAATATTAAAACTTTTTTTTAAGTAAATGTAAGTGTATGTGAATTTATCATATAAATATTGAATATCATCATCTAAATCATGCTTGTGGCATATATCCTGAAACCGAGCATCCATTCCAGGATCGATGGAAGATGCTTGCACAGTCTGCACAGTCGGCACTGAGCTATCATAAGGCCATACATTTTTTTCCCCCTGTTTCACGGGTCATAGTCCCTTCTGAAAAGCAGCAGGTCTAAAAATGAAATTAAACATGAAAACCACGTTAACGAGCCTGACCACCCGATCCCATTAGTCACCTCTTTTAGTAAGCAAGGGTTGCTGAAGATCAATTCTAACAAGAATCTTCACAGGTCTATAAACTATGTAGCGATAGGAGTAGGGTTTTATGCCACTTACTGCAATTTTGACCTCAAAGACCAAATTACTATAACATTGAAGAGTTATACTTGGATGTGCTAATTGCCTGGTTTAAATAATGTCGATTGCAAAATACAAATTAAATAGATATTACTTAGACAGTAAATGTGCTTGTTTTGCTACAAAAGAGTGTCACAGATCTCACAAACCTTAAATCATTTTCACAGCATATTTTCTTTTCACTATTTAAATTTGAATATTAAAAACAAAACAAAATGGTAATACAACCTTTTCACATAAAACTGAAATGGTCAAAACAATCATCAAGGTGACAGTCTTGACAAAAATAACTGATGGGATTAATGAAACAAGGATTTTTTAGTCATTCTGGTGATAAAAACTTAGTCAGTTCGTGGAATTACAATCACGTGGCAAAGGATATATTAATTTCAATTAAACAATGCAACCAGACCTTTTCAGCACAATATCCGAAACAATTTCCTTATGGCTGAAACAAGCAGGCATGTAACACTGTTTTAAGTGAACCTGATTTGTGGACTTCAGACCTCTCGTAATGAACTTCCTCACCCCACAGTGTTCCTGCCATTACCACTAACACAAAGCCAAGTGAGCAAATTCCTGAGATGGTAAATTTGGCAGAGCTTTGTGTTCAAATAAGCCTAATTTAAAAAAGTAATTTCAAAAAGTTTTTAGATTAGGTGAGTGAGTATGGTTTTACTCTGCTTATACTAAGTTATAGCAATATCACGGGATTGGGGGGGGATGGGGGGAGGAGAGAGAGAGACAGAGACAGAGAGAGAGAGAGAGACAGAGAGAGAGACACAGAGAGAGAGAGACAGAGAGAGAGAGAGAGACACACACACACACACACCAGAAATGGGCTTCACACATTGTACCCATATTGGGAATCAAACCCGGGTCTTCAGCGTGACGAGTGAACGCCTTAACCACAAGGCTACCCTACGCCCCTGTTTTTAGATTACTTCATAACACCTGCAATGTTCATGGACCTCAGGATCACTCTAAACTCGGAAAGGTGTCAGTTATTGAAAGTTGTCTCTGAGGTCCTTTGGGGTTACTGATATTGTTTATTAATCTATACACCTGAAAAAAAGTTAAGAACCATGCACCTGATGGCATGACTGATTAACTATAGTAACATGAAAAAATCTGGTGGTCCTTAACTTTTTTTCAGTAGTATATGCAACATAGGCACCAGGCATATTACAGGCACAAAAGCATATACTGTATTCCCTCTAATAAGCGCCGGCTTCAATAAGCGCCTGGTAGGAAGCAGTGTACAACACAATAAGCGCCAGATCTCCAATAAGTACCAGATGTTAGAGTTTTGTTCTCTATCTTGAAATAATCTATTTAATTTTGATTTATTAGTGTCTGTAGCTTATGCTTCACTGTAGTTGAAATATTAATGCCTGGTCTCTTATTAAATCACCATTGAGCATCCATTTTGTAACCCAAGGGTTTTGGAAGCTTGGACAGAGAATAAGAACCAGGACACTTTAGAGCAAATACAGTAATTCAGAAAACAATCACCCCTAGTCTGTCTTATCAAATACAGCCCATGCAAGTCTATAATGTTTGGCAAGTCTAGATCACTGCAGTATCAGGAAAGTATCTGAAAATGAAGAGAGTCACTGGGCTCCTTTTTATTATATTTTTATTAAGATAACTGAACAACTGTTTTTTTATGTACGATATGTTCATTTCAGAGACTAAATGTTAGTCTAAATCACCCCATTCCAATCCCATTGATGGTTCCTTAATATGTTGATACCAGATAGTTTCTCATACAATTATTATTATTTACCCTCATACGAAACTTTATTTTGGGGACTGTATGTTAGTTAGTCTAAGGGACACCAATATTTTTTTATTTTCAACACTGAGGATTATGACAAGGATCCATACTACAACCCCTCGACTTTCATCCTTATTTTTTAACACTGACTAGAACGGTGACACGTTCTGCACATGCTGCATGTGCAAGATCCATAGGCATTATAGAGATGATTCACACTCCAGCACAGTGGTGACTTAGCATTATTGCCACAGGCTAATTTGTGTATCACGTGACCAGACTTTACTCTAGTTTGTAAACAACCACGCTTACTCTGAAATTAGAGTAGACAGGCCTTATGCAAGCGCTTTACATATTATCGTGCATAATTATACAGATATCTTACTACAACTGTGACAGTGAGGTGCAGGACAATATATCTTTATACATCAAGTGACCGTATCGCTAGCTCTCCGTAGGGCTCGATGACAGCACATGGAGCCGTACAACCAATGTAAACAAAGGATAAATACGCAAATGAAAAGTTTTTCGAGTTCTAGGATATTAAATTTTCTTAAAGCGAGTGAGTTGTTTTTAACGCCGCTTTTAACAGTATTCCAGTCATATCACAGCATGTCAGCTTAATTTTGGAGGAAAGCCCGAAGTGATGCAGGTCTTAGACGTTTACCACTTCGATGAAACCCACAAGCACGGGTATAGACTGACAAACCTAGAAACATAATCAGGGTGAACCGGGATTCGAACCCACAATCATAGGTTTCTGGCGTGTCCAAGGGACGCAACTCTGCACAGCAAATCACAGCGCCTTAGATGACTGGGCCACCCGTGCCCCCATTTTCTCAAAGAAAGTTACCTTTCATGACATGTTAATCTAAATGAGTAGACTTTTCAAAAGGAAACTGATAAATAACATATGTAACATGTTGAACGGACTGTGTAATATGTGATGAATCATCACATTTCCCTGGCCTGTGACAGAGGTACTAGGTAGGCTGCAAGGTTGGTTGGTTTTGTTGTTTAACGCTGCACTCAGCAATACTCCAGCTATATGACGGCGGTCTGTAAATAATCGACCAGACAATCCAGTGATTAATATCATGAGCATTGACCCACGCAATTGGGATCAATGACATGCATCAACCAAGACAGCGAGCCTGACCACCTGATCCTGTTAGTCACCTCTTAAGACAAGCATAGTCGCCTTTTACGGCAAGCATGGGTTGCTGAAGACCTATTCTACCCCAGATCTTCACGGGTCTGACCGCAAGGAACTCTCAGGGTAGGAGAGTGGGGAAGATTCTAATCAAAGAGGATTTTCTTGCCTCCGTCCTTTTTGGATACCAAATTATTTATTAATTAATTTTCATGTCAGGAAAACATGTCCAAACCACTGATTATCTAGATTAAGGTTGACACAAATATTGAATTGCACTGGTTAAACTATAAAATGTCAATAAAATGTTGTATGATTTTTCAGTAATATGGATTTGTAGCATTTTAACAATTGTTCCATTTTGACTTTTCAAGGACAGAAAACACAATTGATCAGGGTTAGAAATTGGCACTAGTCCAATAGTCCTTGACAAACTGCCCAGTGGTAAAGGTATCATAAGGACTAGTAGAAAATTGCCATTTTTAAGGGTTTTGATATATGTTATCATTATAAGGACTAGTGGACGAAAACTGTTAGTTTCTAACGCTGTTGATTAGTACAGTTTACAGATAACAATAACAGAAATAACAAATAACTGACAAGTTTTTCCTGTTTACACATTGATAAATGAATTGCACACCTTGTCAGCCCTACATTTCATCTTAAAGGGAGCTTTTGAGTTTGGATTAGTGAGTATATTAGTTGGGTTTAATCAAGGTCAAATTCATAACATTGCAAAAATCGGAACATAGATTTCAGGCTCACTACCAACTACACTTATGCCAAATTATGCATTTTTTTAATTGTGAAAGCTGACAAATTTCAGTCAGGTGAGCTAAAAAAGTTCCTAAAAACAAACATCTTCCAAAAATATCAAATATGTTTTTTCACAACACAGACTACTGCATGGTGATTGACCATAAGTGAGTGAGCTAGGTTTAACAGTATTCCAGTTATATCACAACGTGTCAACTTAATTTTGGAGGAAAGCCCGAAGTGATGCAGGTCTCGGACATTTACCACTTCAGTGAAAGCCACAAGCAAGGTATGGTGCAGACAAACCTTGAAACATAATATGAACGAACCGGGATTCAAACCCACAATCATAGGTTTCTAAGGGACGCAACTCTGCACAGCAATTGCAGCACCTTAACTAACTGGGCCAGCCGTGGCCCCTGATTGGACACTGGCTTTAGGACTTATATACAAGATCAAAGGCTACTCACTCTCCCTTGTGAATGTTCACAATGCTGCTTCGTCGACGCCCAGATCTCTTCATGGTAAATCCAATTAAAAAGCATTCACATTTCCAAATTCACCTGGCACGACACACCCAAGAGTCATACATGCCGTGACATCACCTCATTCGAATATCAACTTTTGGCTGCCGATTCATAATATTTTCTTGGGATCCATTTTCGGTTAATCAACAGAAGTTATTTAGTGCCTTGAGTAATCCATTCAAATCATTAATTACATTGCCACTTTCAACAATTAGTGACCCAGATTATCCATTCCAGTTGTCAATTTCATCACAACTTTCAACAACTTGTGCTTAGATAAAGCAGTTGTCAATTTCATCGCTATTTTCAACAACTCGTGACTTAAACAATCCAATTGTCAATTTCATGAGCACACTGAACAACTAGTCACTTAAACAATCCATTTCAGTTGTCAATTTCACAAGTACTTCCAACAGCTAGTGACTTCAATAATCCGTTTCAGTAGTCAATTTCACTAGCACTTCAACAGTCAGGGACTTAAATAATCCATTTCAGTTGTCAATTTCACAAGTACTTCCAACAGCTAGTGACTTCAATAATCCATTTCAGTTGTCAATTTCATCAGTACTTCAACAGCTAGTGACTTAATCAATCCACTTAAATCATCAATTTCATAAGCACACTGAACAACAAGTCACTAAATAATCAATTCCAGTTGTCAATTTCATCACTGCTTTCAACAATTAGTGACATAAATGATCTGTTTCAGTTGTCAATTTCACAAGCACTTCAACAGCTCGTGACTCCAGATGTTCAAAGATCCATGTTGTCAGCTGGGCCCAGGGAGGTGGAGCCCTGTGCATGATAACATTTCCCTGTCGTCATCCGTCTTCTCGTCTAGTACCTGCATCCGTCAAGATACAGTTCCACTAGAGCAGCACTCTATTAACCTACAATGCTTCGTCACATTCTCAATGTTGTTGAACTCCTGTGACACACTTCATAATGTGACGAAAAAAACTGCCTCCAAACCCACGCAAAGTCATGCCATCGGCTCATTTTCAGAATTCAAATTAATTTTTTCTTTATCTCAAATTTCCTCTCCAAAACGCTGTTAAAATTCATATTCGTTGTCACAGTCGTTAATGAGCATGTTGGACACACACATGGCATTGCAAAGGGTGGAAACTTGCACTAATTACCCAACACACTCGCCCCACTTGTGTAATTCTGTTTCATAACTCCTCCAGCACTAATGACAACTATCACTGCCAGTGAGAACAGTCATGCAAGATGTTAATTTCCTAACAGCTGACTCGTGTCATCACCAACTGACACATATCACGCAAACATATGTCACTGTTTTGAAACTATTCCTAAGGAAGAGGTCAAACTCTATATTATTCGCTTCCACTTTAGAAGACCCTATTAAAACCCAAGCCCTCTTCAAACAGCAAAAATAAATTTTTATCACTGCTCAAAAAATAACTCTCAAAATCATGACATGTCAATTACGTTTCAAATCCTTTGAAATCAACACAGCTTGATGAAATAGACAAGTGTAAACTCCTTTTTTCCACTTCTATTAGAAAACAACAATCCTCTTCAAAGAAGAAAATACATTCTAACACACACCCAAACCATGTCAGTTTCGCTCAAACAACACTGAAATCAAAACAAAGTTGATAAAATCCACAAGTTATCATCAATTCCGTTATTAGCAACACATGAAACCGAACACCTCTGTTACAACACAGTGTATATATCCACAGGCCTTGACGGCTACCTCCAGTTGAACAATGTTGAATGAAAATACCTCCAAAATTCACGGACACCAACACAAAAAGTCCCTCTAAAACTGACAGCTCTTTATCTACGTCCCACAGAAGGCACATACCATCGGAATCTCCATAAATGAATATGAAATTGTCGATATCAATTCCAACAGATGTATGTCCAACACTCAAGAGCGGACCTTAACTCGGCAACTTCACAGTCGTAAATGAAGCCACACCTCTTACTCTGCTTCAGTGATTTCTATTTTGCCCGACTAACACCCAGTGTCAATGTGCTATTTACCCAATCCATAGCTGTGAGGTTCATGCCAGCCCCAGCCCTCACAAAAGCATGACCAGATTCACCTACGAGTAAGCATTTTCGGCTACAGCTGTTGGGGCCTAGATTACGGCTCAAGCCTTCACATATGTGATATTGTTGTGATGATAAGTTTATCTCTCGATGACATTTGTCAAGGTTTCCTCCGACAAGTCGTCCCCTTCCGCGTACTAGGTCATGTGACCTTGCACGCTAATTTCACAAAGGAGTGAGGAAACATGCCTTTGCCTCGGGAGGTGTTTATTTTCAAATGTGTAAGGTTGAAGTTCGGGTCTCGAACTAAATGATAATACTCATTGTTATGATTATGAATAAAATTATGAATACTGACATGAATTTGACTAATATAGCCACAGCCTGTGATGTGTTCAAGCCTGGACCAGCCAAACCAGTGGTCAAAAGAATGAGCACTCATCCACATCATCTTGTTATCACACAGAGTTCAATAGGGATGGGATGATACAACAACTGTGCGATCTGATACGCATCATGATACCTTTTTCACGGTCTGATACATATCACTATACTTGCATGTGTCTTATCTGCAGTGCATAAGCCATCTTTTTTTATAGACAGGATGGCCAAATACCTGGCACACTGACGATTTACAGTTGGCAGTGTCAAGTATGGCGAAATGGATGAAAATATTTCCGTTTTCACAACTAATTTCCACTACTAATGTGTGTTTGGTGAAACAGATATTGAAGAAAACATTTAAGGTATGAATCAATATACTTTACTCAGTGTGCGAATGTGAACGATAACTGTATCAAGAAGTAAAAAATTGGGGTCCGATTTAACAATCAAAGACAAATAACAAACACAAACAAAAAGTGGCAATTGGACAGATTAAAGTGCTTAAAATAAAATCAATAATATACGAAGATCAATGATCTAAGTAACCATGATGCCACTCATATATTTTTATTGATACAATTTATTTATTTGTCAACCTTTTTGTAATCTGTTTGTCCTCCCCATGACACTGGAAACAACTAACTGATTAAAACTGGTCAATAAACCTACCTAGCCCCTTCTTTATTGCACAAACTTAAACAAGGACATTTAGACTAACATCTAGTCTCTAAAATGAACATATTTAACAGAAAAAAAACAGTTGTTAAATTATAGTTATAAAAAATCATAAAAAGAAGCCCATAGACTTTCTTCATTTTTTGATACTGCTGTAATCTAGACTTGCCTGATATTATAATATTATGAGTTATTAAAACGTCTGCAATATTATGTATATTATGCGTATAAACAAAGACATGAAGTCGTAAAATCTATGTAATGTGCTTCACATTGTATTGCTGACACTGCATTTTCTTGTATATGGGCCAAAGGCCTACACACAAATAAACTAATTTTGACTGACTTTATAGACTTGCATGGGCTGTATTGGATATATTTGTTTCAGGGTCTGTATGACAGACTAAGGGATATTAGGTAATGATTTTGTTCTCAAGTGTGCCAAAGGGCACTAAAGATGTTGAGATGTGCCCTTTGGGACTTAAGTTTGCCAACAAGAGGTGGAATTCATTTGATTTATTTTCACACTTAGGGACTGTTAATTCACCATCAGCGAGATGGCAGCTGTAATTTAGAAAGTTTGCCAATCCTTTTCAATAATAATACTCTTTTCAAAGTCTGAATCCTCGGCTTCATTCTGTGAGTCAAAATGCACTAAGCGTGTTCAAATTGCCATGTTCCATGTATTTGTTCAGTTAAATTGTGCCAAGTACTTTTATCTCTGGCTTCATGAAATGAAAAGACTCGTTAAAAAATGTTATTTCTAAGTGTGCCCATCAGGCACGGAGAACTTATGTCAATGGTGCCATTGTGATTTTAACCATGCCATTGGCACTCTATAATAGGAATTCCGAAGCCTGCAGTGCCAACCTCCTATAGCTTGAAAGGCATTATCCCTGTGCAAACAATTCAAATTTAAACCTATCACATATTTTCATCTAATAACTTAAAAACAAAATTTCACCTCTGCAATAATAATAATAATAATAATAATCATAATAATAATCATAATCATAATCATCATCTTCATAATTCCCTTTATATCGAACCAAATTCCACTCAAGTGAATGCTTATGGCAAATTTCATCATCATAATAATAATTCCCTTTATATCGAACCAAATTCCACTCAAGTGAATGCTCATGGCAAATTTCATCATCATCATCATCATCATCATCATCATCATAATAATTCCTTTCATATCAAACCAAATTCCACTCAAGTGAATGCTCATGGCAAATTTTAATGAGAATTCAACCTCTGCAATAATAATATGAAGGGTGAGAAGTAGATGAATAAGAAAAAGGAAAAGGAGATGACGACAAGGAGAAGAAATTGGAGAATAATAAGAGGATGGTGAATAAGAAGAGAAGATGGAGGAGTGAGTGAGTATTGTTTTACGCCGCTTTTAGCAATATTCCAGCAATATCACATGTTGTACTCATGTCAGGATTCGAAACTGGGCCTTTGGCGTGACGAGGGAACGCATTAACCACTAGGCTACCCGACCGCCCAGATGAGGGAGGAGAAGAAGGAGAAGGAGGAGGAGGAGGAGGAGAATAAGATGAATGAGTAGGAAGAAGAGGAGAGGGAGATGAGTAAGGAGAAGTAAAAGGATCAGGAGAGAGGAGAGAAAATAAAAGGAAGATGACTAATGAGAAGAAGAGAAAATAAAGGAGGAATAAGCAAGAAGAGGCAAGAGAAGAAAGAAAAGAAGAAGAAGAGAAGGAGGGGAATAAGAATGAGAAGTACATTTATAATGCACCAAATTGCACTCCTGCGATTGCTCATCAGGTGCTGCGACATGTTTATTACATGACTTGTGACGTAAACATTTACCTGTTATGTAAACATGTACTTCCACTTGAGAAAAATAGCTAAAAGGAATGAAGAGATTTCCTAACCAGTGTTAACAAGATAAATGTTTCCACAAAAATAAAAACCTTGGAGTTAGAAGCAAGTGCACTGTACGCCAGTCTTAAAATTCCCTGGGTTTAAAACAATCGTGACTTTTCACACAAGCTAAAAACAATGTAGCAATTCTTAGTCTGCAGGCTGCTTAACTTTCACATGATTCAAAGAGAAAATTGTAAGAATTTGCCCAAAGATTCTTGAACACAGCTCCTTAATTCTGGGACACTGAAGAAATACATTTTAGCAGTTTCATGTAAGATGGCGGGATTTTTCCAAGAGCGGCATCACTTCCTACAAAATATTTGTGAAGATGTTTCTTTCCTATCTCACTCCAGAGAGGCAGGAAAGCATCTTGTGAATTTTCCAATATCTTAACAGACAAACAACCCCGCAAAGAAAAGCAAACATTGTAAGCTGATTTTGAATTAAATTTGGGCATATGCGAAATTGCTGTTATGATCAAACTGCAAACTTTCTCCATTTCTCATTGCGTGATCAAGGTTATCACGTTTCGGACAAAACCAACCGTCCCCCGAGACTTGTGCTCAGCTTTATCTTCTCTTGTTTTGATTTTCAGTGTTCCAGTTTACCGGTAATTATCAGGTTTTTTTACCAGTCAAATTAGGCTTGGACGGTAATTCATGTGACTGCCAGTCCCTGTGGACGGCAAATATAGTACCTTATAAAAATCTTGGTTGTTGAACAAAACATAAGCAATATTAAATTTTTCCGAATAAAGTCAGCTTGTCTGTTACCATCAGGGTTTCCCCTTGTCTACTTTAAGTGGAAGGAAATAACATTTTGCCTTGCTTCGAGGTTAAATATTTGTAGCGACTTTGTCTCGAAATATTCACCAATAAGAGAGAATATTGTGACTGAACTTTGTGTGAATGACGTGTAGATCTAACTATGTTACTTCAGAGATGACATCATTGCATTTAACATGATGTTGATGAAATTAAAACCAGGTAATTTTCATACGTTTATATTTATTGAAAGTTGGGACTAACAAAAATTAGGGGGGATTGGTAATTTTTGGAGTTGACAGTCCACAGGATTGGCAGTTTTAAAAGCCAGCAGGAACACTGATTTTCACATTCTGTGACAGCTGAGAAGGCAAAATTTCTTTTGCCAATTACTAAACTCTTCCTAGAACAATACTATTCCCCTTTTTAATGGGGATATTTATATTTTCATGGCTGATTATCCTTTTCAACAATTGAGTAGTATGTTTAAACTTCCGGGGCACCAGTGATCAGGGCAGATTTTGTGGGTTCACAGAAATGTTTACTGTCCAAGTTTTGCTTGTTTGTTTGTTGTTTCAATGTCACTCTCAGCAATATCAACAGTCTGTCAAAACATCCAGTGATTGAAGTCAGGAGTCTCAATCAGCGAATTTGGGATACAGTAACATGCAATCAACCAAGTCACTGAATCTGACCCGATGATCCATTTAGTCACCTCTTATGACAAGCGTAGGTTTCTGGGGACCTGGGCCCTGTTCCACAAAGCGATCTTAGCGCTAAGACTATTGTAACTCCCATACTTTAACATAGGCCTACGGTGGTCGTAGGGCTAAGATCGCTTTGTGGAACGGGGCCCTGTATTCTTACCCAGAATTCCCACTATGCCTTCGGGCTATCTCCAATAACATGGTACTAAGTTCTTCAAAGCAATGTTCAACTCAGCTCCCTATTCATTTGCTTATAATTCACATACATAGTCTGGTAGTTAAAGTTGATTCATGTCATCGTATCCCAATTGTGTGGATTGATTCTCACTCATGATATCAATCACTGGATTGTCTGGTCCAGACCTTAATTATTTACAGACTACCGTCATATAGCTGGAATATTGTTGAGTGTGGCATTAAACAACAAACAAACAAACATACAAAAAAAGTTGTTAAAGCATTGACTAGTCATGCCAAAAAGTGAGTCAGTGAGTTTGAACAGTATTCCAGTTAATCACAACATGTCATCCTGATGTTTTGTTTGTTCATTTGTTGTTTAACGCCGCACTCAGCAATATTCTAGTCATATCGTGGCGGTCTGTAAATAATCGAGTCTGGACCTCACAATCCAGTGACATCATGAGCATCAATGTATGCAATTGGGATACGATGACATGCATCAACCGAGTCAGCGAGCCTGACCACCCAATCCCGTTAGTCGCCTCTTACAACAAGCATAACATCTAGTCTCTGAAATGAACATATTTTACCGATAAAAATATTAAATAATAGTTTTAAAAATATAATAAAAAGGAGCCCAGAGACTCTTCATTTTCACTGCAGTTATCTAGACTTGCCAAACATCATAGCCTTGCATGGGCTCTATTGGAGATATTTCTTTTAGGGTCTGTATGACAGACTGGGGGATATTAGGTAATGAATTTTGTTCTCAAGTGTGCCAAAGGGCACGAAGGATGTTACATACAGACTACATCCCTATCAAAACACAGGCATGTGCAGGTTGCTTTAAAGTACTGTGACTTGTCATGCAACCAGGGCATGTATATATGAGTATCAACAAAGTGGGGTGTAGCAAGTGCT